CTGTTGGAGAGTCCGGAGTGGTCGGTCGGGTAGGATGAGGAGTGAAATGCTGGAAATTTCCAGATCATTATCTGCCTATAAGCTGTTTGATACTGGGTACGAGTGTGGCTATGAGGTGAGATGAGATGATGATCTAGATGATGCAACCACAGCCTTGTTGTGCTGATGTAGCCTCTGCAGGCTCTGCTCTTTCGGCGCCTGATGCTATCAATCTGCCGGGACCAAGCTGGTTGCCACTCATTGATGGAACTCACTGTGTCTTGATGCAAGAGCGAAGGGATGGATAGCGATGGGATTTATCTCCTTTGCGATGTGATACTTACCCGTACGCTTTTTCCGGATGCCTTTCGATGTTGATATCTGTAGACTGTACGGAGTAGATAGATAGTAGAACTACCTTAAGAAAGGCTAATCATATCAGGTTCGGCTGACCGCTGTGTTTGGCTACCGTCGGATGTTGATTGTATAACATTCCGATTCTTCCTTGCATAGATGGAAGATCTTCCCTGGAAGACTTTTCTTGTTCTGGTTCTTGCTTTGCTTGATGACTGATGGCTTTTGACAGCATGATGAGTGTAATAGGCAGGTGTGAAATATCCATAGCCGAATTGTGTTGTTATTATTAGCTTGAGATCAGGTGAAGATAATCCATAATCTAGACTCCCGTCATTTTATATGATACTGTAATACAGCATACTGTCTTCTGACATACAATACCTGCCTAGCCTCTTCTGGGGCAGATTTTGCCTCCTGTCTGCCTCTAATTGAGTTCTTTTTCCCAGTCCCAGGAGAAAAAGAGCGCCGCCTGTGTCTAAACCTCAGATCTCTCCATCACCGCTTTTACTTACCCGACCGACCCCCTCTTACTCTCAGTACTGCTTAGACAGGTTCACACCACACCCAACACTCAGACTCATCTCTCTTTCCCTTCCTCCTCTTCCCTTCTTCTCTTCTTTCCCCCCCCATATCCACCTTCCAATATCAAGGCTCTGCCCTTGGTTTTTGTTTCTTTTTTCCTTCTTGTTTTCGACAGCAGGTACTTCTTTCCTGTCTGTTAATTCCTGCGCGTCTTATATCTGCCTTTTCAAAGTCCCATTCTTAAGGTGAGTTGGCCTCTCGGTCTCCTTTTTCCCTTTCTTTCTCCCCTCCGCCTTTTCTTCGGTCGGGCCTCTACAGTCGGAATCAAACGTCCTCATCACCACAACCCGTTCTATTTGCAACAAAACAACAAGGAGTACATTTTCTCAACATTCTACTCTCACTTCTTGCAACTCCTGCATCTATTCGGTGGCCGTTTTCTCCTGTTGAGTCGTTGTTGAGGCGTGTCCTTCCGTCAGCAGCTCTCCACCCACAGCCTGATCGCCATTCACTCACTTTGCCAAGTAACTACGCGCCGGAGGCTGGAGCTTGCACCTTTTTTCCGTCCTACAGCTTTCAAACCCTTCTTTTTCTTCACAGCATTGGCCTTTTCCTCATTGGATCCTCTTTTTTAGACTCGTCTTGCCAGAATTTGTTCACCTTGCTCGACATCATCTACCATTTGACCCAATCACTTACAAGTCTTTCCTACCAGTCTTTGACATCATCTCCAGCCACAGCATTGAGCTGTGCCTGACAATCGACATCCAAGATGACGACCATGGTTAGTATTTACATCCATGCATCCTTCGACCCTTGTCCTAATATGGTCGAAACATAGGATTTGCGAGTCGGTAATAAATACCGCATCGGCCGTAAGATCGGAAGTGGTAGTTTTGGTGACATCTATCTCGGTATGTCGTCGATGCTTTTTGAGGAAGTTGGTTGGTGAGCAAGTGCTTACAAAAGGATACAGGTACCAACATCATCTCCGGCGAGGAAATCGCCATCAAGCTCGAGAGTGTCAAGGCCAAGCACCCCCAACTTGAATATGAAGCTCGGGTCTACAAATCGCTCGCTGGTGGTGTTGGAATCCCGTTTGTCCGCTGGTTCGGTACCGAATGCGACTACAACGCCATGGTCATTGACCTCTTGGGTCCCAGTTTGGAGGACCTCTTCAACTTCTGCAACCGCAAGTTCTCCCTGAAGACTGTGCTTCTCCTGGCAGATCAACTCATTTCCCGTATCGAATACATCCACGCCAAGTCCTTTATCCATCGTGATATCAAGCCCGACAACTTCCTGATGGGTATCGGCAAGCGTGGAAACCAAGTCAATGTGATTGATTTTGGTCTTGCCAAGAAGTACCGTGATCCCAAGACGCACTTCCACATCCCGTACCGCGAGAACAAGAACCTTACCGGAACGGCCCGTTATGCTAGTATCAACACTCACCTTGGGGTTGAACAGTCTCGTCGTGATGATATGGAATCTCTTGGGTACGTCATGCTCTACTTCTGCCGTGGCACTCTCCCTTGGCAGGGATTGAAGGCGGCCACCAAGAAGCAAAAGTACGACCGTATCATGGAAAAGAAGATGACCACTCCAACCGAGGTCCTCTGCCGTGGATTCCCCAACGAGTTCTCCATCTACTTGAACTACACTCGCTCCTTGCGTTTTGATGACAAGCCAGACTACTCCTACCTCCGCAAGATCTTCCGCGACCTGTTCGTCCGCGAATCCTACCAATATGATTACGTTTTCGACTGGACCGTCTACAAGTACCAGAAGAACGCTGCCATGATTGCGGACGCTACCAATAACAAGAAGGACAAGGAGGCTGAAGGTCGCCAGAATGCAGCTGCAGCTCAGGTCCCCATGGCTACCCCTGCTACTGCTGCCAAGCCTGGTGCTATCTCCAGCCAGCGTCGCAAGGTCATCGATCACAACACGCTCAACAACACCCCCGACACCAACCGTGCTATGGGAGGGAGTGACAGGATGTGAGTATCTGAAACCTAGGTTCCGTGTAGGGAACCCCTTTCCTCTGCGTTTGGTGTTCCAAGATCCGCTCTGCGCGTGGAGGTCCTCTTCAGTTCCTAGAATCTGACTAATCTCATAGTCTTCGGCATTAGGCTGCGCTCTGCTTCCAAGGTTGCTGCTTCAGGTGCTTATGGGCCTGCCGGTAGCCGCCCGAAGCGGGACGATGGGTACGGTGCTCAGTGGTACTAATTGTGCAGCATGGCAGCGTAGCTTGATTTTACTCGTCTTTTGATCGTATTTCAGCTTCCTGCATGCCAACAACCTACACCAACTTCGAAGCCCGGGACCTCCTGTCATCACGGTACCTATCTGCATCATGCAGCAATTCTCTCGGACTTCTTTTGCCCTGGATCTCCATTCTTTTTTTCCTTTTGTTGTTCCCATGCACTCTATCAGCCCTTTATCCAGTCCCGATCGTCTTTCGATCTTCAACGTTTCGACGGACCGCTCATCGTTCTCAAATTTGTCAATTCGCTTATCGGTCTTTCGTGTTTTCGCTCGGTGGAGGCTTTTCTTCAACGCTCAATCCCCCCACCGTTCACGACTTTTATACTCGATACGCGAACGCTTTTTGAAGGAAAATCGATAGCGGCCTCGAAATGCTTTTACTGCGGCTATTTCTACCCGTTCACCCACCTTGGTTCAGTCGCTCGAATTCATACTTGAATCGAGATTTTCAGTCCCCGCAATTTGCCGGGTGGGTCGGGTGATAAGAGATGCATAAACGGGATCATCAGTATTGACGGAGCAGCTTTATCAGAATGTCGACAAATGTCGCTGGGGATCCTCAGATTGATCATCTACTGCCCTGTCTCAATACTTTTCCAACCCCATCTTGCTCTTGCACTTCTCATCGTCTTATGTCCTGCATGCTTTCATTAACTTTCTATCGTTTTTCTTGTGAGTTATCGACGTGTCAACAGGGGACGATGACAGAAGGAACGACCTGCGATGATGTGGTGGGAGACAGCAGTTTCTGGGTGTCTTACTCTTGAGGTCCCTGCTATTGTCCTTTCAACAAATTTATCTCACGACTGTTCGGTTATGAGGATAATGGGACGACTTGCAGTGGGTCAGGCACGAGGGAAATGCGTCTCTACGTTTGGGTGATTGGCGACGGAAAATGGCTAGGGTCGCTTCCGGGGTGGTATCACGTCGATTTGCGTTTTCTTTAACGGCATCTTATGGCTTTGATGTGTTTTTCCGTGCTCTCCTCTCGCTTTGTGTCGAGGAGTCAATCTGCGAGGATCTGTCGCGAGCCAACCCGAAAGCTCCCAGCTAGGTTCTCTCAAATTGTCTCTTCATTCACTCAAATAATATTTCAGTCCTTTGTCGTCAATCAATTTCATTCATCTTTGCAGTATCGCAGGGCTTGCACTTTTCGTAATTGTCTCTAGCTCCTTTTGTGTCCTAGGGAGCAAATGCGGAAGTCATAGATGTGACGTGGTAAAGAACTGGACTCTCAGTGGGTGGTGACATTGATGAATCACTTGAAAACTCTTGTACTCTATTTGGTCAGATTATCAGGAGCAATTTCCTTAGTTGACATCAATAATGAAGTTGCGATGATGTCCCTGATTCTGGGTCGCTTTTTGAACGCTTGAACCCACCCCCCACGTTGTCCCGAGGTGCTTTCAATATAAACTCATCATATCTACATCTTCATCATTAGGATTGCGCAAAATTGTGCCATGCTCGCCAAGAGGTTGTGTCAATTATTCGAAGCGGCGAATTTCGATTGCTTTGCATTCGTGTTATTCTAAGTAGTTCCTTTACTCTTAGCACTTGGAGTTGTTCTCTCCGAACTCCCAAGGCTCAGCCCCATCTATCTCCGTACCTCCTGTCCCCCATCGATAAGAGGAACCATCTCGGCGATTAAGCAACCTTTAATTTTTACCTTTTCTCTCTTAGGCCGATCATCTACTGCAAGAAGACGTGCTTTGAGCTTTGAGAGAAGTGCACAGACAGAGATATGGACTACTCATTTTATTCCGATCCTCAGTCTCAGCAGCCATTCTCCCTCTACAATCTTCACGGCCTACCAACACCCGATCAGAACAATCCAGCCTCTCATGGCGATGATCTCCATGATCCGTTTACTTCTCTAGTTGCTTTCCCTACGTTGCCGATTATGCGGATCTGATACTAACCCTGACCTATCCTAGAATTATCATTCATTTGATCCCTCCTTTCGCATTCAGAACCCCGCCGCCCCTTCATCTTTCGTCCCGCCACCACACTCTCCACCAGAATCCTTCTCCAAACACTCGGTTTCGAGCAATGATTTTCCCAACAGCCATGCGGAGCCCGGATCCATCGAAGGCGGCGATGACCAACCCCAGCATCGGAGCAGCAGCGAGGAAAAGGACAACCTGACTCCAGCGCAAAGTAAGCGCAAGGCACAGAACCGAGCTGCGTATGTGATTCATTCATTCAGTCCCGTGAGAGCGTTAGGGTTGCAATACATGCCCGCACTGAAAGCATGCTGTGGAATAATTGTTGCTAACATTACCCCGGATCGGTGCCTTCAGTCAGCGAGCGTTTCGCGAACGAAAGGAGCGTCATGTCCGCGAACTGGAAGAGAAAGTCAGCACCCTGGAGCAAGAATCCACCACCCTAGCCGCAGACAACGAACGGCTGAAGCGGGAGCTGGCCAAGTACGCAACGGAGAATGAGGTTCTACGGGCTACATCGGGCCAATTGGCGAGTTCGCAGGCCCATCATCTGGACTCGGAGCCAACCGTCACAGGACCGATGAAGTACACCCCTACTGACTTTTACACGAATCTTGTACCGAAGGGGGAGCCTGCGCCTACCCATCGGGTGACGATCTGCGAGGAGACGGGGGAGAGGCTCCTCGATGCCGGGGCGACCTGGGATCTTATCCAGGGGCATGAGCTTTACAAGCGGGGTCTGGTTGATATCGGGGATGTCTCTAATCGATTGAAGGGGATGGCTCAGTGTAACGGGCAGGGTCCGGCGTTCAGGGAAGGCCAGGTGCTCCGGGCCATTGAGGCGAGCGCTGCGGCTGGCCATGATGAATTGATATGATCTTGGCAGAGACGAATTCGGGCCGAGTTATGATTTTGGGACGTATTTTTGTGCGTTTGGAAGCTGATTATGGGAGGATACGGCGCTATGTCGAAGGGTGTTATTTGGCGCTGGAATCGAGGCTGGGATTGGTATTTGCTTATCGATTGACCTTTCTCATTTATTTTTCATCAACGCACACATGAATGTTGGTGTTGGGATATGAAGCAATGATTGCCGAAAATGCTAGCGTTTGATGTTACGGTTGTTCATTCTATCTTCTTCTGTGAGACGCTACCGGACGACTGATGATTCATAATTTGATATATACGTGCTTGTGTTCATAAAGGAGAACTGTGCTCTCGAATCCCAGTCACCTATCCTTTAACATGAACTCGGAGCCTCAATCCGTAAATATAGGTGAGTTGATCAACAATCCAGATGACCCGTATCACTTTCGAGTTTGTCCCATATTTCATCGTATGCATAGCGGAAACAGAAAATCGACGAACCGTTATCATACAATCAGCATGACCATAGCAATCCCGTACTAAAATATTATTCACAGCCATCCTTTTCTTAGTCCCAATCATCGTCGTAATCTTCCACGTTCGCACTCCTGATGTTTGATGGACGCTCCTGATCTGACGAGTGAGATCGCTTCTTTAGACGGACATCGCTCTCTTTCAAGGCACCCAGATCCAATAGCATCCGCTCAAGGTCTGCGAGACGACGTCAGCCAACATCTATACAACTCCAGCATCAACGATCAACAAACGCACCTTCAAGCTTAGTCCTGGGTCCATTGAGCTCCCGTAATGTAACAAGCTGTCTTCTAATCTCTCCGTCCTTGTAAACCAGAATCGTCGGTGTATTCCGCTCCGGATATCCCTCAATGCACATATCGCCCCGGATCTCGCAGAACTTAATGTCGCCGTATTTCGCAGCTAGTTGACGCCATAGCTCGGACAGGATCCGCGACTCGGCGTTCCCGCTTGTGGATGTGAGGTGGACAAGCACGAACGAATTGCTGGAGGCTTCAGTTACCTCGCGGCCGTAGTCGACTTTTTGTAACGGGTAGACTTGGTTGTAGATGCTGGTTTTTTGGAGGGTAGAGAGTTCGGCGAGGCGCTTTTGGCTGGATTTGGTCAGTACTTGGAAAGCTCGAAAGCTCGCAGCTGGGATATCGGGGGTTCTCATGGTTGCGACGTACCGGTATTGTTCGAGAAATTCCTCGTCTTCTTCATCCTCAAGATCGTGCAGCTCATCTAGATCTTTGTCTTCGAGTCTATTCTCGTAAGCTTTTCGTTCGGCCTCCACGAGGGCCTCTTGGATCAATGGTTCGGGGTCCTGGGGCTTTTCGGGGATAATGCCATGTTTGCGGAGAATGTCATTCCTATGGTGGGGTGAGTGATTATCGGGGCTTTGGTGAAGGAATTGCGGGGATTAATTTCGCCTACCACTCAGTATCCTCGTTCGGGTTTACTTGGACTTCCATGATGAGAAGAAGGTTGATCCGTCGTTAGGAACAGAAATCACAAGTTTAGATAGATGATACCTCCCATGCCATTGTTTGTTGAAGCTACGGAGTGGTGGTTTAGATGATGTACATGCCGCGTGTTTGCTCTGTTTGCAGCATCAGCCACAGTGGCTGGAGCACCCACAGACGCGGAAGGCCACCTGGAGATTGTTCGATGGCATCGGGAGCTGCTTTGGCAACAACCTCTCCATTCATGCACGATTCTTCCCTGGAACAGGGTCAGTAGCCTTGCCTCGAGATTGGACACTGCTCCTTCTGGCCTGACCTTTCATTTTCTTCTTTTTTTATCTCCAACCCTCGCGGATAATGAGGGTGCGGTAATCGTTTACACCGCCTGCACACCCAATTGCTACCGACTTACCCATAATACTTACCCACCCGCCCTTATTCTACCGTTGACCCCGGCGTCACCTTTACCGGTAACTTACACGAGAAGAGAGTATCGGAACAGAGCTCTCTGCTGCTGTTAGATCAGCAGCTTCTTTCACCATGAGTTACGTCAAAAAGGATGAGGACGCTGATCAGGTCATGATCAAGCTTGATCGGACCTCCGTCTTCCAAGATGGTAAGGGGATTACCAGTTCCCCTGAAGATGCTATCTAACTACCAGGCAATTAACTAATTATGTTCTACCCTTTGTCGGTTGATAGCACGTCTTTTCAATTCCTCTCCAATTTCTCCACGAAGATGTCGAACCCTCCTGACCAAGATCGCGGTCCTCCTGTTTACGGGGGAGCAATTCCCCACGAACGAGGCGACCACTCTCTTCTTCGGCATTTCCAAGCTGTTCCAGAACAAGGATCCTTCCCTGCGGCAAATGGTCTATCTGATTCTGAAAGAACTCGCGAATACGGCGGAGGATGTCATCATGTCGACAAGCATTATCATGAAGGATACCGCTGTCGGTAGCGACGTCCTGTACAGAGCAAACGCCATTCGGGCTCTGTGCCGCATCATTGATGTGAGCACCCTTTGTTATACTGTGTTCTTCCTGCTTAGTAGCTGATGCAATTCGTAAAGGCCACCACCGTGCAAGGTATCGAGCGATTGATCAAAACCGCTATTGTCGACAAGACCCCCTCTGTCTCCTCCGCCGCCCTGGTTTCTTCATACCACCTCCTTCCAATTGCGCGCGATGTCGTCCGTAGATGGCAGAGTGAGACGCAGGAAGCTGCATCCGCATCGAAGCAGTCGACCGGTTTCCTTGGCTTCGGCGGCAGCTCTTCGAGCCACGCTATCTCGCAATCAAACTTTATGACTCAATATCATGCCATTGGTCTCTTGTACCAGATGCGCTCGCATGATAGGATGGCTTTAGTGAAGATGGTTCAGCAGTATGGAGCAGCTGGTGTTGTGAAGAGCCCCGCCGCGCTGGTATTGTTGGTGCGGTTAGCGGCGAAGCTGGCGGAGGAGGATCCAGGCCTGAGGAAACCGATGATGCAGATGCTTGATAGCTGGCTCCGGCATAAGCATGAGATGGTCAACTTCGAGGCAGCAAAGGCAATCTGCGATATGCGCGATGTCACCGATGCGGAAGCGTCCCAGGCTGTTCATGTTCTTCAGTTGTTCCTTTCTTCTCCCCGCGCCATCACCAAGTTTGCTGCCATCCGTATCCTCCACAACTTTGCCAGCTTCAAGCCTCATGTTGTCAATGTGTGCAACCCCGACATTGAATCTCTTATCTCCAATTCCAACCGTTCCATCGCCACTTTCGCCATCACAACACTACTCAAGACTGGCAACGAGGCCAGTGTTGATCGCTTGATGAAGCAGATCTCCGGTTTTATGGCCGATATCACGGATGAGTTCAAGATAACTATCGTCGAGGCTATTCGGACTCTCTGCTTGAAGTTCCCCAGCAAGCAGGCCGGCATGCTGGCGTTCCTCAGCGGCATACTCAGGGATGAGGGTGGCTATGAATTCAAGCGGAGTGTCGTTGAAAGCATGTTCGACCTGATTAAATTCGTTCCTGAGAGCAAAGAAGATGGTGCGAACCCCCAACCCCAACTTTTTTCTAACCTGGTTGTTCGGCAACTCAACTAACAATAACTAGCTCTTGCCCACCTCTGCGAGTTTATTGAGGACTGTGAATTCACCAAGTTGTCGGTCCGAATTCTGCACCTCCTCGGTGTAGAAGGACCCAAGACATCTCATCCCACCAAGTACATCCGCTACATCTACAACAGAGTCGTCCTGGAGAATGCTATCGTACGAGCTGCCGCTGTAACGGCCCTGGCCAAGTTTGGTGTTGGACAAAAGGATCCTGAAGTGAAATCCAGTGTCTCCGTCCTCCTTGCACGCTGCCTTGACGATACAGATGATGAGGTACGAGACCGAGCCGCTCTCAACCTTCGTCTCATGGCGGAAGAGGACGAGATGGCCGAACGATTCATCAAGAACGGTATGTATAACTCTGTCTGATTTCCACCTGAAATGTTCGGTAACGTAACTCACATAACTAGATTCTATGTTTTCTCTCTCTACGTTCGAACATCAGCTTGTTATGTACGTGACATCAACAAACAAGGAGACATTTGCCGCGGCGTTCGACGTTGCCACGGTTCCTGTTGTCACACAAGAACAAGCCTTGGCCGAAGAGAGAACCAAGAAGCTCACGACTGCAACTCCCACCCTCAAAGCTCCTTCTGCCGGCCCTCCCAAGGGCAAGGCCAACGGCGTGGCCGAGGCGGCAACCGCAGCGGCAACTCAGAAATATGCCGAGCAGCTCATGCAGATTCCGGAGCTCAAGGCATACGGAACTCTACTCAAGTCCTCTGTGCCTGTAGAACTTACTGAGAGCGAGACGGAATACGTGGTCACAGCTGTCAAGCATGTTTTCAAAGAGCACATTGTGCTGCAGTACGACGTTAAGAACACTCTGCCCGATACCGTTCTTGAGGATGTAACGGTAGTCGCCACTCCTTCCGAGGAAGACGTCCTGGAAGAAGAGTTCATCGTGCCCGCTCCCAAGTTGGCTACAAATGAGCCTGGTATCGTATACGTCACCTTCAAGAAACTCGCCGGTGAAGACAGCTTCCCTGTCACATCATTTACAAATATCTTGAAATTTACCAGCAAAGAGATTGACCCTACAACCGGTGAGCCGGAGGATAGCGGATATGAGGACGAGTACCAAGTCGAGGACTTGGAGCTTACTGGCAGCGACTATGTTATTCCCACGTTTGCCGGCAGCTTTGACCACGTTTGGGAGCAGACCGGTGCGAACGGGGAGGAAGTCAGTGAGACTCTACAGCTCAGTAACATGAAGAGCATCTCAGGTGCGTCTCGAATTCGACGTTTCAACGTGAATCCAGCTCGACATACTGACTTAGCTGCAGATGCAACCGAACAATTGATCACCGCCCTTTCTCTCCAGCCTCTGGAAGGATCAGATGTGGCTCTTAGCAACAGCACACATACGCTCAAGCTCTTCGGCAAGACTGTGTCAGGTGGCAGGGTAGCAGCTTTGATCAAGATGGCTTTCTCAAGCAAGACGGGAGTCACTACCAAGATCACCATCCGAGCGGAGGAGGAAGGTGTCGCTCCTGCTGTCATGGCAGCTCTTGCTTAAGGTTGTATATTGTAATGGTGCAGGTTCCAGCAGGCATGCACTAATGACGGATTCTGCATTTTCATGAGACCAGAACCATTTCCTGCGTTTTGTTCCTTCCTCTTTCCTTCAATTGCCAGTTTCTATAATTGAAGTGTCAAGCTAGATGCGATGAATATTTTTGTGTAGTCTCCAAAACCCACTATCCACTTGTTTCTGCCTCTCTGTCATCTTCTTTGATCATTCTACCCCATATTCTCTATTTTGGCGTCTTCTGGACGTTCCGTACCCTTGTTTCTCTCATTTTCTCGCCTCGTTACCGTCCCAGGAGGGCAGTACTATGACTCAAGGGGTCCTTAGTTAGACCTTGAGTGCACTTAGTCGAAGAAGCAGACAGATCAAAAATGTCTCAAGTCCCTGTTTTAGATCTCTCGCGCAAACCTGTACAGTGCGATAGCGTGTAGATGTGAAAGAATTGTTTCTGATGCCATAGCTTATTCTCTACCTAGGTACGGTATGTTTGAAGCCATTCAACAGGAATCCAAGGTCCACGACTGTCCCAGAAAATGCTCGCGACGATAAGACTGGCAGAACGAAACAATGGACTGATCTCTTTCTAATCTTATTGTTTGATCAAACATCTTTGTTGCCGGTCAAGAGTTGAGCCTGTCATTATTTTGAGCTTTTGTTCTGATTTTGCTGCTCATTAGGAGAACGATATGTCTACTCCGTACAGAGCGATGAATTCCCCATCGACAGCCATGCATCCCTACGTATGAAAGTAAACTTTTTTTAAATGAGCTTCATGATATTGATAATTCAAGCGCCTGAAAATCTTACATAGCATAAATTCTGGGCTTGTCAGCCGGTACATGGTAAACAGGTTATGCATTTTGGTAGTACATTATTGTTGATACATTCTAGCTGTGAAGCAACTGTGTCTAGAGTATATGATGTTGACATAACGGAAAAAGACATGGTCTAAGTTCACACCAGCGAAAGCCACTTTTGTCATCATAGGGAAACAGTGTACCGAGGTCATAAGTCATAATCATGAATCGTCTGCGGCGTGTACATGCAATCTCATAGATAGGAAAGCCATGCCAGTCACATGTAATATACACCGACTTCAGTTTCATCGACCGCGGTCACCACACCTTGTTCAGCTCTCTGCTTAGCATGTTTATGAAGGACATCGTCAACTCCTTCGTCTTCGACAATGCGCTCGTCGGTGCAGAAGATATCCGAAAATCCAATGGAGCGGACGTTACGCAGGCCTTTGCTTAGCGCCATTATTAAGGATGCTGTTTCAAAATGGAGTATTGGGTCCGAGAATGGCATGTCGAACTCGAGCACTTCAAGAGCCAGTGGAGGTGACAAGGAGTATAGAACATCGAAGAAGGTCTCATCTACCATGTCACCGGGGACACTCAGAGATGTCAGGTCGGGCAGGAACGCCGTCACAGCGTTGATAGACCCAGGCTCAAGCCCACGATTCGCATTGGATATTGCAAGGTGTCTTAGGGTCTCGCTCAGCTGCGGACTACTGAGCAAGCAGGCAATGCTGGTCACTGACAAATCCGTGCAATTCTTCAAAGTCAAGCTGGTGAGGGCAGGCGGCCAGGAAAATGAGGGGATCGTGGTGGCAGAGAAGTGACCGCTCAGTTGCAGTTTGTGAAGGAGGGGAGGCCATTCTGTCCGTGATGAGTCGGGAACATCGAGATTGGTTGAGTGGGGAAGTCGAAGGGTGCGCAGTCGCGGCAGACGACTTAACGATTTCTTGAGATCGGGGAAGGGAATCGGATCCACAACTAGAGAGAGATCAAGATGGCGGAGATTCGTGCATTTCGACAAAGCAGGAAGGCTGTTGACACTGTAATCGATGTTAGAAATGGTCAATCATTTTCTGGAGAATATGCGGCAAATATCGATTGATCGAAGCTTGAGAAGCATTGTCATGAAAAGAAGAGCCGACACGTCCAAATGAGAGAGCCAATACTTACGCAAATGACACTCTTGGAGCCAGGAAAACTTCTAGGTTCTCCTTGACTCGACCAAGCAGTCTAGCAGTCACACTGTTGGAGCTATGGTGCACCAGGCGACTGAGATCCAGGCGGCGGACAAAACTTCCCAGATTCAGCTTATTCCTTCGTACACCGACTTTTGGAGAGATAGTCGACACAAACTGCTGGAAAGACTTTCCTTGATGTAGCCGAGGCTTTTCATACAGAAAGGAGATGGCTGCGGAGTACCACTGTCGCGATACTAAGCAGCATGCGTACAGCGCCTCTTGACGATGGGCTTCATCTGCAGCAACGAAGCGGACGATCTGCACAACGATTTCGGTAGGAAGATAGATTTGGCGAGTAGAGTGCATCTGGGGCGTATAAGCTGCAGAATGCCATTATAATGTCGCAGAGTACTTAAGAATCAAGCGATTTGGGATCAAAGCTGCGTACTCCGTAGAGGGCAGTTGATGTTGGTCTGATAAGAGATAATAATCGGGGGATGATCTCATTAATATTATTATTATTGCGGCTGTCGGTCGGCTTCCCGCTGTCGTTGTTACTCCGATTTATCTCCCCGTCTCCGACTGAGTCAATTCAAATTCTACACTCAATTGCAGCGTTGTCACTGGTATTTCTATACATTTATCACTTGTACGGAGCATATACATTCTTTTGATTAGCTACGGTCGCTTAGAATGAGACCGCAACCTCTTTGGCGCTCTTTTGGACTGTTGCAGAGCGTATACTCTCGCTCTTATCAGTCATTCGGGCTTGGTCGCAGAGCCATCCAGACTGCCACTTCCACATCTCAGATTCCAGACTTTGCATTCGCATTTGAGTAAGTTTCGAGTCCATCTCAATTTAAGAATACCCTCGCTAACCATATTGTGACCTAGCATCGATGGTGTACTCCTCCGGTCGTCCAAGCCCATCCCTGGTGCGGCCGAGTCATTAGCACTTCTCAAGGACCAAGGGATTCCATTTATTCTTTTGACAAACGGGGGTGGGAAACATGAAACAGAGCGAGTGGCAGAGATCAGTGAGAAGCTCAAGGTACCCTTGGACGCCTCAGCCATCATCCAAAGCCATTCTCCTTTTGCGGAGCTTGTGAAGGGGCCTGATGAACACAGCTCCTTGGAGAACAAATGCGTGCTAGTTGTCGGAGGTAAAGGTGATCGCTGTCGCCTGGTGGCGGAGCGGTATGGCTTCAAGAATGTGGTGACTCCTGGCGATATTTTCATGGCCAATCCATCCATTTGGCCGTTCTCCGATGTTTTCAAAGATTATTACAAGAAATTTGCGAGGCCGATACCGAACCCTCTGGATCCTCGAGATCCAACCAAGGGATTAAAAATTGACGCCATCTTCGTGTTCAATGACCCCCGCGACTGGGCTTTGGACGCTCATGTGATTATCGACGTTCTACTGTCATCGCAGGGTGTATTGGGTACTTTATCGGACAAGAACGGGCGAACGGATCTCCCAAACAAGGGATTCTTGCAAGACGGCCAGCCGCATCTGTACTTTTCAAACCCAGATTTGTGGTGGGCAGCTGCTTACCATTTACCGCGTCTCGGCCAGGGAGGTTTTCGCGAGGCCTTGGAAGGTACCTGGGCCGCGATCACCGGTGGGCCAAGCAAAGGCGTCGAGCTGAAGAAGACGATCATCGGCAAGCCATACCAAGGAACGTATGAGTTCGCGGAGCACCAACTGCTGCGCAATCGCGCTAGGACTTTTGAGACGGATGCCGTTAGGCCATTACGGAATGTTTATATGGTTGGGGACAACCCAGAGTCCGATATCCGAGGCGCAAACACCTACCGCAGCAGACATGGCAGCAATTGGCATTCGATTCTCGTGCGCACTGGTGTCTATCGCGGAGGAGAACCCGCTTGGACTCCAAAGGTTATCGTTGACGACGTACAGAAGGCTGTCGAATGGGGAATAAAGACTTCTGGGTGGAAACTCACCGAATGAAAGACTGGATCAACTGGATTGTTCATTTTTGTATAGAGCGAACTGCATACATTATTGATTATTCGAGTGGGAGCAAGCATATATAGAGTCAGCAAAGCTGCGTTAGATAGGTCAATATCTGAGATACCACGGAATTCTTGCATTGGATTTGCTTTCTGGAACAAAAGCGTTCCCAGGACTGAAATAAATACATTTTCTTTGCCTTGATTTTTGTCTCATCGCTCAGAAGAAAATCAGGACTACCTTTATTTCAGTAAATGCACTGAAGCAAGGATCGAACCTATCCAGCTAGAGCAGGTGGTAATCCTCTTGGTGATTGTGAGGATTGAAGATTGAACTGCTGCCCCTGGAGTCTTATTTTGAAGCATTTGATGCAGGGCTCCCATAAGGAGAACGTTGTAATTAGATACCTGAGGCATTAAGGCACAAACACGTGCCCCGAAGGGAGCCCCTCCTAGGGCTTAGGGCTAGGATGATTTGGCGGGGTGAGTCGAAGCTCATCTCATTGACTCATGAGGTTGAGAGAGTCGTAACGAGTTGCCCACCTCCCCCGATTCAGTCTGCAAACTTTGTGAAACACCAGCGACCATGGCGGACTCCGAATTGCCCACTCGCCCCAAGCCCGAGGAAACCCCCGCGGCCGCCGCCGCCGAAGGAGCTGAAAAGGGTCCCAGCAAGAGTGCCTTGAAGAAGGCCGCAAAGGAAAAGGCCAAGGCCGAGAAGGCTGCGGCGCGTGCGGCCCAGGAGAAAGCTCAAGCTGCCGCTGCTGAAGCCAACGATACCGCCAAGGGTCTGTACGGCCAGCTCCCCGAATCCGAAGATGTCGTCCCTTCTACGAAATTCTCCGAGCTCGGCGACGACCACTATGAGAAGGAGGTTACCGTGGTGGCTCGTGTGGACAATGCCCGTGTTCAGAGTGCTAAACTTGCTTTCCTGATGCTGAGGCAGCAGGGAAAGAAGGTGCAGGCTGTCATTGCGGCTGCGGAGCCCATCTCGAGACAGATGGTCAAGTATACGGGCGGTCTGAACGTCAACTCCATCGTCCAGGTTACCGGTATCGTCAAGAAGCCTGCTATCCCGATCTCTTCGGCTACACTTAGCGACCTTGAAATCCACATTCGCAAAGTCTACATGATCGCGGAGGCCGCCCAGATGCTTCCTATGCAGGTTAAGGATGCCGAGAGACCGCCCCCGGAGACGACTGAGGAGGGCAATCTGGTCGACGCAGAGGGTGCTCCTATTGTCACTCTCAAGACTCGTCTGGATAACCGCGTTCTTGATCTACAAACAGAAACTAGCCAGGCCATTACTTGGATTTCGAGTGGTGTTGCGGAGCTGTTCGCAGAGTACATGATCAAGAGCGGATCGAGGTGGATTTTCACTCCCAAGTTAGTCGGTGCCGCCACAGAGGGTGGCAGCAATGTTTTCGAGGTCAAGTACTTCAAGCGCAACGCCTACTTGGCGCAGAGTCCCCAGCTGTACAAGCAGATGTGCATTGCAGGTGACATGGAGAGCGTCTTCGAGATCGCTCCTGTCTTCCGTGCTGAGGAGAGCAATACTCACAGACATTTGACCGAGGTATGCCATTGAAACTGTTTGCTGAAAATCGATCAATCCTAATCAACTTATAGTTCGCCGGTCTCGATTTCGAGAAGACATTCCGCAGCCATTACCACGAGGTCCTGGAGTTCGCTGAAGACCTCCTCGTCTTCATTCTCACCCAACTCAAGGAGCGTTACAACGATCAGATTGCCATTATCCAGAAGTCGTACCCCAAGGCTGGCGACTTCAAACTTCCCAAGGATGGCAAGGCGCTGAGACTCAACTACATGGACGGCGTGGCTCTGCTCAAGGAGGCCGGTGTCGATGTTTCCGAGCAGGAGCGATTCGAGAACGATTTGACCACAGCGATGGAGAAGCAGCTGGGTCAGATCATCCGCGACAAGTACGACACTGATTTCTACGTGCTGGACAAGTTCCCTATGGCCGTCCGGCCTTTCTACACCAAGGCCTGCCCCCAGGACCCCAAGTTCTCCAACTCTTATGATTTCTTTATGCGTGGCGAGGAGATCATGTCTGGAGCGCAGCGTATCAATGACATCAAGGAACTCGAGGAGTCGATGACCGCCAAGGGCCTCGATCCCAAGCAGGAGGGCTTCGAAGATTACCTGGCTGCTTTCCGCCAGGGCTGTCCTCCCCACGCGGGTGGTGGTCTGGGCCTGAACCGTATCGTCATGTTCTTCCTGGGCCTGCCTAATGTCCGTTTGGCAAGTCTGTTCCCTCGTGACCCCCAGCGCCTGCGCCCTTAGGCATTTAGTTTAGCTAGCGACGACATTACATACCCGTATGAACAAAAGTATAATGAAAAACATGAGACTGGATAAGCAGCATAATCGTATTCAGAGACTATCGGATCTGACTGTCTGCGTAGCGTTCTTTCATGGAGGCCATTTTGGTTGCCAAGGCATCCGTTCAGCTTTTAAGAGGTGGCCCAAGCTCCCAAGGCTGGAACTTTTTGGTTCGGAGAATCATGAATCATGAATCATGTCAGCATCAGAACAACAACGCTCCGAAACGCAAAATCACATTCAAATCATGCCGGAGAAGCGGAAACCACCCGCATCTGGCTTTGGTTCATCTCCTTACTCAAAGCGTCCCCGTCCGTCGTATGCAGAAGAGGATGATGCCGACGAGATGACACCCGCCGTGACGCCCTACGAACGCCCTCGCAACCACCCCGTATATGGGCAAAAGAGCGCCTTTCCGGGCTTGGACGTCGAAGTGGAGCATGAGCTTTTCTACGGTGAAGCAGAGGATGGCATGGAGTATCTTCGCATGGTCCGGTAAGCTTTTTCCCTTTCGGATCCTCGCCAAATTTCTGTTCCTGTTCCCCGCTTGCTAAATGTCTACATGTCCTTTGCCCCATGTCTAGTTTTCACTTGCGACGAGCATTCGGTGGTTTCGAAAGCTAATCACGGCAATGACTCTTTTATGAGAGTTTAGATCCGAAGCCAACTCTCTGCCTTTCCTGTTTACCGCTCCCAAACCTACGGAGACGCCAACCGAGAAGACAAACGATGCGATCACAGAGGAGCAAGAGCCCCAACCAGCACCTACGCCATTGCGCGACGGCATCTTCGCAGAGGGCGTCTACATGGCCGCACCTGCCGAACCGGAAGTCGCGCAAGCATCTACGGGACTACGGGAAGACGAATACTCCGGTGCGCAGTCGAGCTATTACAATCTCCTCCACCATCGCTTTCTCCTCCTCCGATCCATCCTGAAATGCACGCCACCATCGAGCGCGATTGCTGCACTGGACGATTCGCATCCGATCAGTTTCCCCCGACATTCGAAGACTGCCCGCAAGGAGTGGCGACGGCTTCTGTTAGCGGTGGACCCGCAGACGGTTCAGCTGGCCTGTATGGATATGGACAGCGTATTGGGTGTGCTGGGGATAATGGCCAGGCTGATGTCCGAGAATGTCAGAAGTGGGGATGCGGAGCGAGTCAGACGGATTGGAGCCTGGGCTTGGGGACTGTTGGGCAAGTGCCGCGATGTCGGACAACTGGGGACTGAAGAAGTGGGCGATATTCGAGATTTGGGCAAACGAGCTGTGAAGATATTGCATAAGATGAGAGAGGAGGATGAGAAGACCAAGGCTGCCCGGCGAGACGATGATCTGTCGAATGAGGAATCGGATGACGACGAGATTCCGGAGGACAATCATGGTCATCCCGAGGACGCTCAAGAGAATAAGCTCACCACTGAGCAGACTGACCATGAAATGCAAGATGCGCCAAGGGAGCCGTCTACTGCGGAAGACCTCGAGGCAGCAAAAGTGCGCCTTCAAGCGATGCTTCAGGTCAATGAAAATGAGACGCGTGAAGCCGCCAGTTCAGACAAATCCGACGTCGCTAATGACGCTGAAGAGAGCACACAGGACAGTACTGTTGAAGTGGCGATGCAGACTCGTGCTATGCTCGACATGATCATCACCGTGGTTGGCGAGTACTATGGGCAAAGGGATCTTCTCAAGGAGCGGGAGTTGTGGATTGATTCCTCATTGCCTGCCAACGTAGCATGATCTCGATACTATGTCGTCTTTTGAAATACTTCTAACCTGCCTTTACCCCTAGGCAAAGCCGAGATACCCAATTTGACTTTTGTCGATAGTTTCACTTAGAGTGAGGATTGATGGACCATTTAGCATAGTCTTCTGTTGCCTACTGGAAAGCGAAGAAATTTGAATTTATGCACTTAGTAAATAGAAATGTATCTATTTCAGGAGTCATACAATAATACTTCAGCACACGATGGAAGGGATATCCTGAGATCTATCTGCTGGTGGGCTTTTGCATGTGGTTTAATGAACGGCGGACGAATGACTCTTTGCGTCATTGTTTAGGCTGCGCTGCCCCAACCGACTCTTATCTCCGTTCGTCATTCATCCTTCAACGCCCATGCCTCTCCTCATCGCCTCAATTCCATCGAATACTGAAGAGTGTCGTTTTGTTCTCTCACGCTGATGAAGACAAGTACATAAGTAACCATCTACATCTCCGAAAAAAGCCGCCACCATGGCTCCAAAGGTCGAAATCTCCATCCCAACCGCGAGCACCTCACACACCTCACCCCCCTACACAATCTACAATATCACCCTGCGCCTCCCCCTGCGCTCCTTCACCCTCTCCAAGCGCTACTCCGACTTCGTCGCCTTCCACACCTCCCTCCTGAATCAAACCAACGCCCCGCCACCAGCCCCCCTACCCGGCAAACACTGGTTCTCCAACACTGTCTCAAACACAACCCTCCGGGAAGAACGCCGGCAGGGCCTGGAATCTTATCTCCGCGCCATCAACGAAGCAGACGACCCCCGATGGCGCAACTCCAGCGCCTGGCGCGCGTTCTTGAATCTCCCCAGTTCCGCCGTCGGCAACGGCAGCGCCACGACCTCAGCCAAGCTGCATGCGGCCATCACAGAGCCCGGCGCGGTGGGCTCACAGAGCGCGATTACGGACCCGACGCTGTGGCTTGACTGTTACCGCGACATGAAGGCGCACCTGCATGATGCGCGGCTACATCTCACACGGCGGGATCAGGAAACGACGCCGCAGAAGCAGCATGAGAGTTCTGCGCGGGCGAAGAGCAGTCTTGTGAGGGCTGGGAATCTGATCGGGGCGTTGGAGGACGGTCTGAAGAATCTTGGTGATGCGAATGCGGATACGAGGTCCATAGCGTCCGGGAAGAGGGGGAGTTGGGGGAGCGGGAATACGCTGGGCGAAGGGGAGCTTCGACGGAGGAAGGACTTGCTGATCAACGCGAGGAAGGAGAAGGATGGGTTGGAGGATTTGCTGAACGCCATGGCTGCTAAGAGTAGGATTGACAATGCGGTTGCGTCAATACAAGACAAGGAGGCGTTGGTTGGGCCTGCGAGTCGGAAGCCTGCTCGTTCGGGGAGGGTGCTGGGCAAGGAGACGGAGCGGACTCGCGAGCTGGATAATCAAGGTGTTCTACAGTTGCAGAAGCAGACGATGGAGGATCAAGATATGAGTATCGAGGAGTTGAGGAAGATTGTACTACGCCAGAAGGAACTGGGGATTGCTATCAATGCTGAGTTGGAGGTTCAGAATGAGCTCCTGAAGCTCACGGATGAAGATAATGACAGGTATGTATCAACCCTGGTTCTATCTCTAATAACCCATTCTAATGCCTGTCACCTAAAGGTTACAAAAGAAGATCGAAATCGGCAAGAAGAGGGTTGGCAAAATATCCTAGTTTGGCGTCTTACGGGCGGTGCCGCCTCTACACAGTTCTATACATTATTTCTGAGCCATTTAGAGGGAGCGACTTGCATGTTTTTCGGCAGTTGAGCGGGTTCTACACTATCTTGGATCTACTCTAGCAGCAGCAATCATTTCTGGGAGGATATGATGCACCGTCTGGACGCTCGTCAAATTGGTATCTATTGTCGTTCTTTCCCGTCATTGCTAGCTAATACATCCTGCATCGTGATTTGTTACGATTGGGCCGATAAGAACTAGTTGTTATAGAACGTCAGTAGATGCCTCTTAAACTCAATGACTCGAAAACTCACCTCCTTCGCTTGTTCCTCAGTCACATCTGATTGATCAGATTCACGCTGGCTAATCAGCCCCAGCTTACTGCGTCGAAGCAGCCACCAAAGTTCTTGCCGATCCCCACCGAGTTCCTCCTTTAACAACTTGTCTTTCAGCTGCCTTAGAAAGTCATTGTACAACGCGGGCTCCTCGAAAGAAATAAGCTCGTCCCGCATTACTCCCATCTCCTCATTGACCCTGTCATAGTTTGCATCACCAAGGCTATTCCTGATCTGATCCTCAATGATTGATGTCATCTGCTTCACGGCGTCTTTGATCGTCTCGATGGTTTCTGCCTGTGTCAGGGTCTGTTTGAACTCGGGAATCGCATTGGTAGGAGAGATTCTGGCGCGTTTCTCTTGGTGAAGCAAGGCATCAACGTCGAGACCAGAAAGCGGTTTCTCGCTCTCCCGAACACGCTTACGTCCTTTGACTTTGGGCGGCACTAGAAAATGGTTAGCAAGTGGTGGACTCTCCCGAGGGAAAATGATTGGAGCGAACCTTTTTTGACATCGGCAGCCGCCATAAGCTTTTCTAGATAACGCTTTGATTTCTCTACCAGGTCTGGTGGCGGCTGAGAAAGCCTCGTTAGATTTTCTGAAGGGGGGGGCACTGGATCATTGGGGTGTATAGCACGGTAGCGGATCGCAGAATCAATGCGATGCAATACCGGCGAAAATGAGTCGTCGATGGGAAGGCCCTCTACCGGATTTCTGGTGGCATGTTAGCGAGAGAGCGCAGACTGGTACTAATCCAGGGACTCACCCGTCCTCGTCGATATCAACAAGCTCCATGCTATCCACATATTCACTCATAGCATCAAGCAAATCCTTGTTCGGCAGATTTCGATGCTCGGTTACTACTTTGCCAGAGACAGTGATCACCTTGTCCAGAGGAGGGAAACGATAGGTTCGGACATCTTCAGCGAATGGTAGCTGGACCTCATGGAGGCACTCATAGTCGGGTTCGATTGAAGGAGCAAGCAACACCATGACGGGAGGCTTGTTCTCTTTGACCACCAAGCGAGCAACAGCATAGCACTCCAGTTCAAAGAGGGCATGAATGAAGGATGAGAGTGCCAATGTTGCTTTATCATTGCCACGCTGCCCAATGATAATGTTGGTTGTCGACATGTGCATATAGCGATCATACTACAATAGACCATAAGTTCCTGCTTCGCGCGTGCAATCAGAGAAGTTAAACTTACCTTGTCACTTTGTATGAACCCAACCAGTTCCAATACTGCGTACGTTTCGAGGGTTGTGATGTTCTCGTCTGTCTCGCTGATATGTACTGCCGTCCGTCCATATTCGTAGCCCTTGGCTAGTTCCTCCCGCTCCACGTCAATTTTACCACCAGGGGCATTCTCATCAGGGACTTCGTATGTTCTCAGGTTCCTGACACTTGTGAGAGCGCCACCCTCGGGAGGCGTTTCTTGTGAAGGAGCAGCAAGTCCAGTCGATTCGCCTTGCTCTTGTTCAGCTCCCACGTCTGAGCGAAGCACAAAGCTACTTGCGCTTGGAGGCTTTGCCACATATGTCCGATAGTACCGTTCGACCGGAATTCGAAGAGCAGTGTCATACTCTTCCGGGTTACCTAGTTGTAGGTATCCTTTGAAAGTCGCTACCGTTCTAACCTTCTTGACGCGTGGAATGTCCATCTCTGAGACAGCCTGTTCTAGCGTTCCATACGCCCCGTCACAATCTTCAACCAATCCTCGGAGAAGGGCCTCATTTTCGGCCTATACTTCTCTGTCAGAAAGATCACTCCCTGTAGCACGATACGACTCTACCTTCTGCGGATCCTTTTCCTCCTCTTTGAAGCCATAATCAGGGTCGTCAAAGTCAGTGCCTCTGGAAATAGTTAGCACACTGCCTCATGCTCTCTGCCGGTATCACTGACAGAACCACCAACTCGATGTTGTCTTCCTTGATTTTCTTCGTTATTTGGTCGAGATCCTCATTGCTCATCCATCCCAGGCCGTTTGTGACCAGCACAATTTTCCGTTTGTACTTCAATTTTTTGCAATATGTAACGATCATTTGAATGGCCAAAATGATGGCGGAAATAGCTTGAAAGAGTCAGAGTACTTTCCGATATCCTGATTAACAAAACACGAGAAAGAGTTGTTTACCATCTCCCTTATCAGTCTTGCTTGGCTTGATTACTGCAGCCAATCTTCGGATATCTGGCATAAGAAACCTGGTACATCAGATGAGCAAATGAAGCCTGCGTAACGAAGAAACGTACTGCTGAATTCCTGAAAGCACCGATATGTGTTTAAAATGAGGATCATCATCGAGCTCGTTAGAGGTTCCTGTTCTCATATTAGTACAGAATAGAGACGTAACTTGATGACCTATTTGTGTCTCACCGTCTGTCTTGAGGCCAATAACACCGATTGTGGCTGTTTTGCGACCTGTGGCTACCTGATTACCAACAATCAGCCGCAAGCTCATGACCTGTCTTGTGTAATAGTATCCTCACTGTTGCTGTGATGCGATCCCAGACATATTGCATGGCCCATTCAAGATCCGTCACTGATCGGCCATTGCGCTTCTCCCCCATGGATCTCCCTACATCCACGATATAGACTGTTGCTTCCTTTTCCGCCATGATCTCGGGATGATATAGAAGAGAAATCCAATTAGGAGATGAGGGAAGAGAGGGCCAGATAAAGGTTGCCCATTGACGGATAGACAAACACGATGCTCCAGGCAGACGCGCGATATTTCCCGATTGGGCGTTAGGCAGAACGCGAAGGCACATGACATCATTATGGGAAAGGTGCGTCAACATTGTAAATCAGTAAGTGTTTATATTTTTGCACTAACAAAAGCCGTCGCAACAATTACCTTTCCACGCATGGGGTGCGTCGAAATATGTTCCGGCATTCTCTAGCTCTCCACCTCCTTCAACAACCATCTGATCCTTTCCCATCTTCTTCTCTGCATCAGAAGATCCCAGCTCGTCTGTTGGCAAATTATAAAGTGTATCATTAATTGTTGGACAGGCAATATGACTGACCCTCGTCCCTACCATGTTCTCAGGTACAGAAACCTTTGCTATCAGGATGTGAACATATGCTGACTTCTGCCGCAAGCTACGGTACCCTATTGGGTGTGCAAGTGTTCCAGGTGAACCTCATCCGGCCAGCTAGATATTCACTACCCTGTTAACATTCAGGCGCAACAGACATTTATCGGGGGCATTATCGCTTTCCGAGTGCTCCCTCGCCCTCAGTTCTCAACGTTGCAGACTGCGACATTCCCCGTGTACTTCACGCTGCAGTCCGCACTTCCCGTAGTTGTCGCCTTGACTTCCAGCAAAGGTGCTCAGCTCAATGGCATTTCCGGACTTCTCGCTCCTGAGAATCGATTTGGAACACTCCTGCCCCTCGCAACTGTCGCAGTGGCTGGGCTGATCAATCAGGTTATCCTGCGCCCACTCACTGTTAGGACGATGAAGGAGAGGAAGCATCAGGGTATGCTTGCGGGTCCTGTGATCCCATCTCACTTACTGGCTGCTAAATTTCTGCAGAAACCCGTGATGGCAAGAAGAGCTATGACCCTGCACCCCACTCAAAGGAGATGATGGCTCTGAACAAGAAATTCGGCAGACTCCATGGTCTGTCAAGTCTGGTCAACATGGTCAGCCTTGCTGCTACAATCTATTACGGTGCAGTGCTCAGCAAGCGCCTGTCTTGAAGAGCTCACTTATTGGAACTTTTCAGTCGATCGCTAACCTCAGGGCTACTTACTGGTTTATCAGACTCTTCCTTTATGTCCTTAACGCTTTGTATATATCGTCCCAACAAGCTGACCATACATAACCCATCTGCAAAAATAAAGAAAACCTCTTTAGATACCTCGTTTCCTGATGCAGTGGATTGCACATCTATCTGAATTCTGCTTTGAGGTTTCTCAGGATGTTGAGACATATTTACCCACCAGCGTTTGGCTCGGAAGGTTTCTGGCTTCGGCCAGAAAACTTGGTGTCACTAACCTGAAACCAAGCAGCAGATCAAGAACCAATTTGTGTGTTTTGTTCTTGTACCCTTGTCAAGCACATCTGCATGCCATGCTTTGAGGTAACTGAGACATGTTGATGGCGGAATGGCTGATTCAAATTGAATGCCATTAAACCCTTTGTCGCTGAGGTGGCCGTCTCCCATTGATAATCGCTGAGCATCTGGGTATTTATCTTCCTCTCTTCCTCACTTCGTCTTGACAAAACCAAAAACAAGAAGGCCTGCCTCCCCCTACCGATATTTATCCTTGCGCAATTCTTTATCCTTATCCTCCTCCTCAGCTTGACTGTCGTCAACCAGCCTTTGGCAACATGTCTATTCTGTCTGTTGCAATGGTCGTGGTCACCCTCGTCAGCCCTATCTTTATATCAGCTGTCCAATCGCTCTCAGAACGTCTGGCTTGCGCCAATATCTATATCTCGAAGGTTTTTGGAGAAATGCCGGCTTTCAAGATTGATGGTATCTTGAAAAAGCTTGATCAGTGGCCGGTACTGCACACATCATACATAAAGCTATCGTCCGCTTCCACGCCAGTGCCGTCTGAGCCCGATATCGCGTGCCCAGGGACCGATAATTTCCACCACATGAACCACTCATTGTTTGACCCAGGCTTGAGTGAGCTGGGCTCACTGTGGCGCGGTCAAATCAGTCAGGATGCGGTATCCACGTCAGAACATCATGCCAATGTGCCGACTTTCGGGGGTCTTTATCGTGAAGCACTACTCATCAACCGGCCAGTTTTGCTTTTCATTATGATTGTTCTGTTGTTGATACCAGCGGTAGCATCCATATTCACTTGGTATTCTCGCAAGCATTGCCTCCAAGTAGCGAACATTGAGATTCTAGATTTCATCAACGAAGTCCGTGCCCGGAAAGCGTTCCTGTTGAAAAGAATGAGCTCCGCTGTTTCAATGCTGAATAGCCAAATTGACAGCATCGTGAGGCAGATAGTGATGGAGCATGAGCGGGTCTGCGCTGAACTACCCACTTTCCTTGATGTTGAAGTCAGAGAACTGCGAGAGGCTCTCGAGACACAATTCCGGAACGAATTTGATCACCATGTCCTGGAAGTGAAGAATTTTGCCGACAACTTGGAACGCGCACGTCGGAGTTTTCCAGATCCCGAAGCCATTGAAGCCGAGTGCGAGGATTTCCAGTCTGAGCTTCAACGCTGGAGACAGCGAATGGGCGACTTTCTCGCTCAAGTCAGTGCAGAGGCTGAAAGGAATGGTAATATGCAGAGCCCGGTCAAGCGTATCATGGAGCACCAAGAGGAAATGCCGCCCACTCAGGCGTGTGTTACGGAGACTGAAGATGAGGTTATGGAAGACAAAGTGGAGAGAAACGAGCCTGCAAGCCATATTGTGAGCGAAAAGCCACGAGCAGAAGATGAGGAGCCAATCTCGAGAATGGCCCTGTGGGCAACCGCGTCCGGACACCCTGCACCCACACCGGCGGAAATCGAAGAAGGTCGAAGAATCCGGCGTGAAAGAGTAGCAAAGCGGATGGAAGAGAACAATGGTCAGCGACCTGTGAGAAGTCAGTCTGGGCCCAGGAAGCGAAGGTGTCCTTTCAGAAACAGGCGCCACAGCGTGCACAAGCAAGACCACGACGCGGCTCGCCAGTCCTCCAATTCCACCTCGCTCTAAATTATCCTTTGGAAGGAAGATCGAAAGTGCATGAAGCAAGAAGTTTTGTGTCTGCATTTATTATGGTTCATCATGGGAGTATCTCAATCAATCGAGTTAGATCACACTGTGAGTTTGATGCACCTGATTAGATTTCCATCATGAGGCTGAGTGTTAAGCTCTATAACAATAGATGAATTTATCCCTGAGTGAGAATTTTAAAGACATAGATTCTAGATTTTTCTCCAGCATGGGAAGTGTAGGGTATTACTTCGGCTTGAATCCGAATGTATTGACGGTTGTTGCTGCTCAAAACCCAACAGGACAAAGAAAGCATCCATAGAACGCCCAAGTCCTTTCGATCTCAACGACAATGAAAGTTCTCCTCTTCTGGGTATTCCTCTTTCTTCTCACTTCTATCATCTGTACTATTTTAGACTGAACCACAAATTGCTTTTCCCCCCCTGTCCTTATTTGAACTGCTTTGCCCTGTTTGACTGCACTCTGTCTTTTGAGGTTTCGTCTTCTTTCACCACTGGACACAACAGAAGGACAACTTAGTGGTAAACCCGTTCATTCTTGAAGCCATTCTTTCTTTGACTCAACTTGTTTCCAAACATGGCGTCGTCCCGGAGCCTCTTCTGTCAAAGGAGGTTCGTTCACTCCCATGGTATGTTCTCATCCACAAGCAAGACCTGACTTGAGGATATTTATCCTTTGTATTGCCCGAGTACTAAGTGGTCTTGAATAAATTTCCCTCTATATTTTCCCTCGCTCCTATTCTCTTCTTAGCATTGCAAATACTACCTCAGACTCGAAAGCATACTGGAATTCGCCTTGTCTCCTCATTTCAAGCTCCTTCTACTTGGTGAGAATGGAGGCCACGATATTTATGCTCAGTTCTCTTGCCACCAATTTCGCTGGAATCTACTGGCATGTCCCCTTCACCGTCGTTGACCCTCAGCACACGTTCCTTGAGCGACTTGTTGGCTCCGTTCAGGTGTCGAGCACCATCTACACTCTCCGACATTGGCATCCTCTCGTGTTTCCCGAAGCTGCAAACTGTCCGGAAGCTGCAAAATGTGAAAGCCCAGCGCAGAATACTTCAATGGAGCTCAGTGACATACTGAAGGACGTTATGGATCAGTATGTTGTTCGGACACAAAATTTAACAGTCCCTTGTCCGACAATTGTTGGCAATTCTTGCAGCGATCAACCGCCTCCACTCGCCACGATACATCACAAGCTCTTCGGAAGAGCTTTTGACATCCCCCTCGATCAAGGATCTGCTGATTTGTACTGGACTGTCTTCTTTACGACCCTTGTATTGATTGGCATCCTTCTCGTGCTCTGGAAGGGACTCACCCAAGGCAGCCGCAAGCATGATATGGAGTCTATGTCGGGTCAGAAGTCCAACAAGTCGGCAGACCTCCCAAGCGAGAAAGATGCCCTGAATTGGATTCGTATCTCTCGCTTTGCTGTCGCTTTGGGGATCAAAGACGATATTTCGCATGACTGTGTGAACATCAGAGCAAAGATCACGGAGATTCCAGAAAATCTGCGCCAATTCCAAAAAATTCTCCAGTCCGGTTCCGTGGGCGCCGAATGCAAGGAAGGAGACGATGTGGAATCCAATAAGAAAACACTCGCGCAAGTCTTTGATGGTAATCTTCGGTTTTGCACCGAAGCAGTGAAAAGTGCACTGGAAGCGCTGAATCAACTCAGCAGACGCGTGGACCACAGAATCAACCTACACGAACAGCCGCTAGATGGCCACGGCCAAGGATATCAGAATATTGAAGATTCAACTGAAAAGTTTAGTCTGTATCAGGACGAATTTCTCACCGAGGGCACCCTGGAAGCAACAACATCGGCCGTGGAAAAGCGCATTCTCGGAATAGTGGATGATCATATCTCAGCCCTTGACGAAGAAGCGAAGAAGCGGATTGATAATATCGAGTCTGCACTCGCAAAGGTCCAACAATCCCTTTCTGTTGGTGTTGTCGATAAGGAACAGCTGAACGGGATTATCGGCGGACTCAAAGCAGACATTGAGAATCTCCACACGTCATTGCAATCACTCTCTCACGGGGGCGATGACTCGCAAGTTGGTGTTGATACCATCGTTCACGAGCAACTGCAGAGCCTAGAGAAGCGTGTGCAATCCCTCGAGCATGCGGCTTCAATGACTCCCCTAGACAAGAAGCAGATTTACCAAGAAATTGACGAACTTGACCAAGCCGTGTTGGATCTGAAGAATTCATATGCGCAAATCGAGTCGAAACTCAACTCAACCGTCACAGAAACACAAGTGAAAGAAGTTTTGAAAGAAATAGCCGCACAACTGAAGCAAAAAACTGAAGGTATGGAAAACGAACTCCACCGGCTCATGAAAGCTTTGGATGAAGTCAAGAACGCTGCGGTCGAGTCGAAGAACGATGACCCTGAACTGGCCAAAAGATTGGAAGATATCGAAAGGGCAATCGATGATTCAACAAAGGTGGTACAAAGCTTCAGAAGAGAACTTGACTCACATGCTCTGGAACACAAAAGTCTGCAGGAGGCCGTCAAGGGGGCCTTCAAGTGGAAGAAGGAGCTTCAAGACGGAATTGACAAGAAGATCGCCAGAGTGACCAGGGAGATCATGGAAACGAATGACCGAATACATATACCGGTCAAAAGCATGCATCTTCTCGAAGAACACAAGTCAATGCAAGCGAACGTCAACAAGAGTCTTTGGAGAAACCTAGATAAATGCATGAGCGCTCTCGGCATCAAATACGACCTGAACGCCTCTGCTCTAGTGACTATACACACTACTAACCAAGATCCTGTCGAAAAGCCTGACTCGAACGATGAGGATCTTGTTGCAGAATATGGTACACATAAGACCAGGACAGAGGTTGTTGATGAAGGGGTTCCACAAGAAGAAGCTCAAGCCGCAGGATCCGAGGTCCAATCACCCAAGGATGAAGCCCAACCTACAAAGGATGAAGCCCAGACCCCAAAACGCGAAGCTCAAATAGACGAACAAGTACAGAAATTCGACAAGCAACGCCGCGCGAGTGCCCAATCTGAGGCCATCAGTCCCAAGACTCTACAACCAGCTTCCAAAGCAATTAGTGATCCAAAGCAATCGCCCGTAGCGGGATCGGTTGCCTTTAAAGATGAGGCTGCAAAGCGCGACAAAGCAGATACAGCCCAATCGCGAGCAGAATATAATCAAGAGGTTGAGAAGGGCCACGGATCTGCTGCATTGGGAAAACAGTCCAATGAGACTTTAGCGCAACCGAAGACATTAGAAGGAACCCAGTCTCCTCAGACACCGGGGTCTGCGAAGGGCAAATCATCTGGAAAGCACACCCCAAGTAAACCCCGTTTGAAGCCGGAGACATCTACCTCCGCAAGGCACGAGAAGAGCCAAGGAGCTGGCCCGGCTTCGGCTCAATCGCCTTCAAAACCAAACACGGAGGTTGCCTCTGCCGAAATGAGCAAGAGCAAGTGGGCTGAATCAACTCCGGCCCAGGTTCAGCCCAAAACACCTACTCATGCGGGAGTTGAAGGGAGCCAGCTGGCTAGCCCAGCTTCAGCCCAACCCCCTTCAAAGCTGGATGCATCGACTTCTGGTGAAATGAGCAAAAGCAAATGGGCTGACTCAACTCCGGCCAAGGCTCAGCCCAAAACACCTACTCATGAAGGAGTTGAAGGGAGCCAGCTGGCTAGCCCAGCTTCAGCCAAAGCCCCTTCAAAGCTGGATGCATCGACTTCTGGTGAAATGAGCAAGAGCATGTGGGCTAACTCAACTCCAGCCAAGGCTCAGCCCAAGACACCTACTCATGCGGGAGTTGAAGGGAGCCAGCTGGCCAGCCCAGCTTCAGCCCAAGCTCCTTCCAAGCTGGATGCATCCCCTTCTGCCGAAATGGGCAAAAGCAGATGGGCCGACGAGTCTTCAACTGCACAGAGATCAAAGAGTGTTTCCTTGCCCTCCGAGAGGAACAAGAAAGGAGACCTTGGCCATACTTTCTGAACTCAAGGACCTGATTAGGCTTGATGCTCTCCCAGTAGATTTGTTTGTTTTGAGTTATATTCTTTGTTTTTGTGATTTGTTTATTGCTCTTTGTGCCACCAGAATCATTTGTCCTTCATCTGATAATCAGTTTGGAGAATCCAGGAGTTGGTGTTATATGCGGGTCGTTTCGTTGGTTTCTGCTGTCTGAGACGGATTTTGGTTTCTTTGAACAAGCTAGATTCGTTCAGGTAGTCGCAGAAGTAAGATCTTTCATGTTGATTCAGCTCTGGTGAAAGCAAAGTCTAATCGATCAAGGGTATCATATATCGTAAAATCAAAAGGCCACTGCAAGCCTCAACGCCAAATCAAAGAAACAGGAGTCATCAACAACAAATTCACACGGTGGCCTGCTCAACCAGGTATTTTCGACAGGCAGCCTTCAGCATATCGATACGTCTCTGAGTATGAATGAAGACCTCGCGGTACATGTCCAGGCTCTCCTGAACGACCTCCTGGCGCGATTTGGAGCCCGCACAGATTTCACGCATACGGATCTCCATCTCCTTGCGCAGGAAGGGCTTGCTGAGAGATGGTTTATCCGGTAGATTGGCGACAACGTTGTCATAGCCTTCCACCAAGGCGATACCTAGGCGAGTCGGGATGAACTCCTTCACGGCGTTCCGACCACTTCCTCGCGAATGAACGGCGACATACTGGCGCTCCTTGATTTTGGCAATGTGTTCGGCCATGGTGGCGTCGGTCCCTATTCCGTTCGCGTCCATGAGCCCGATGAGTTCTGGTTCGGTCAAGTAGTTGGGGGGCGTTGTCTTGCCCTCGAAGATGTTGGCTTCAGTCGGCGCGAAGACTTCACCCACTCGGAAGTTGGGCAGTTGTTGGCTACTCTCCCACTTGTCGTATACGTAAATTTCAAGGTAGTTCTTTTCCAGAACGATCAGTCCGTTGGCGTGAAACATCTCGTCGCCATATTGGATCTCAACCTCGGTGCTTTGACCTTTTGCATCATCGGAGCAGCAAGCGAGAAATCGCCTGACTATGAACTCGTAGACTTTCTTCTCGTCAGAGTTCAGTGCACTTGGTGAGACCCAGCACACTGGGTGGATAGGTGGATGCGCGCGGTCATTGTGGCGTCCAGAACGAGGAGTTTTGTACCCGCCATTGATGAGACTTCATATTTGAGACAGTCAGTAATGTCAGAGAATGTCCGCTTGTAAGAACTCTTACCCTCGGGCGTATTCACCCCAGTTGGTATCAGGGAATTGCTTCTCAATTAACTTCTTTAAATCAATGCCTTTGTCGAATTGATCCGTCTCAGTACGAGGATAGCTGATGTAACCTTTGGTATAGAGAGATTCTGCGGCCTAAACCTTGATAAGCCTCCTGATAAGAGCTGGAGAATGTAATACAGAGTGCATACCTTCATGACCGCCGAACTGTCCATGCGAAGGTACCTGCTGCCCATCATCTGTAAGTCCACCGTTGTTAACGGCAGAGGTCTCCATTTGCTGGTAGGCTTTTGGTTGACTTCTGTGACCTTAGCGGTCTTTGCTAGCAGACACCTTTCCAGCATGACTGTCACGGCCGCCCTGTCGAAAAGATGGACTCTCCTCCATAGGAAGTTGACCTTTTTTATTTCTTGGACGTGCATCACCTTAATTCCCCAGAAATTCTCCGGCTTGAAATTCTTCACTCGTAGATACCGATCAACAACGAAGCCCAGGGTGGGGAATTGACATGATCCTGTTGACTGGGTCAACTATAATTGATGCCGGAATCAGGAAAGCTCAAGGTAGGCCACCAACGTACCGTAACTGATGAGTTTATCTGCCAGAGCCGCTGACAAACGTTGTAGTTGAAGGCTCTGCAATCGGGTGAATGCAGCACCAATTCGAAGGTCGAGCTCGATTCTGGCAGCAACCGCATTTGCTTGGTTCTCATCCACATCTATAAGGGCCCGAGCAGCGCGTAGAACATGCCTGTTATCAGGTGAGCATTGCTCATGAAAGAGCTATGTATCATTCATGTACACTCACGCCCTCTCTGTGTTGCTGAATCGAGCTCTTTTGACCACGATCCGCTGGTTTCCCTGTATCGCTTGTTTGCGGACTTCGGTGCCGATGTGCTCTCCCTCTCGATCACAATCGGTCCAGATAAATAGAGCCTTCGACTTTTTGGCCTGCTCCTTAATGTTTTCTGCGATTGGCTTATTGCGCTATACACTGAGTTAGCCTTGCTGCGTGGTTCAAGAAATACCCCTGACCAGGCCCTTGACGACCGAAAGCAAGAGGTCAAGAGTGCGTACTTCTTCCACAAATTCGTGCACAGGAGCTTCAAAGAGTGAGCCCGGTGGGCATGAGAGCCAGCCTTTGTATTGACTCTCGAAGTCGAGGGCCATCAAATGTCCCAGGACACTGGTCATTGTGACTGAGCAGGTGCCCCAGGGGTCACCGAAGTTGAACTCAAATAAGTAGTTCTTCACGTATGGATTACCGCGTATAGATATCTATGTCTATCTCAGTATATATGACTTCAATAACCCCTGCCGTCTCAAGCCAACAGTCACTTACTGTTTGCATGGAACCCCCGGAAAGATGCTGAGCCACAGCTTTAGCAATGGCAGGTTTCTCTGCCACGCAGAGAATCCTTGGGACAGGCATAGCGAATGACCCGTCAATTCAGAAAGTCTCGGTCATGCCATCATTCGAGACGCGAAGAAGACGCGATCACTTCCCGAAACGGAGATGGTAGATTTCTGCCTGTATGCCTTAAGAGCACTTATGCCTGAGGCAGCAGCGTCAGGTTGGCCCAAGCTCCTTCGCCCAAAGCGGTAAGCGCGCCGTCCAATAGAAACGCTCGTCCGCGTTGTCTATGATCGCTTCTCTTTGTTTTGCCACAATGTTTTGATTCTCGTCGATCGACAGTTGGACATCAAGAATCACTGTCGGGTGTGCAATAGCTTCAAACTGCGACACCTATTCTGAAGTCCTTCGAAATGGCGATACCACTTCCTCAAGTTCACTCTGTTGTGGACTGTGCCTCTTTCAACCGCACGGTGCTGCCCTTCCTGTCGCAGTTGACAACCCTTCCTGCGCAGCTGCAAGTGGCAGCCGCAACGAAAGATGTGGACGCTCTGAAGAATATCTATCTTTCGACAAACCCGTTCATATCGGCGCTCGGGTTGACTTTGGTTCTGTCTGTGCTTTTCCTCATTTTCTCGGAAATCAACCGCAACTATTCCCAAGTTGATCGGTTTTGGAGTATCCTGCCAGCTGCGTATAATGTGCACTTTGTCGCTTGGGCGCGCATGTGGGGCATTAAGAATCAGAGCCTGGATACAATCGCAATCATCACTTTGATTTGGAGTGTAAGTTATATTAATGCGACGACCCCGTATGTGCCGCCGACTCTAATTCCGCTTAGGCCCGATTGACCTTCAACTACTGGCGCAAGGGAGGTTATCAAATTGGCTCTGAGGACTACCGCTGGCAGATCGTGCAGTCTCAGGTCAACAACCGGTTCCTCTTCTTCCTGTTGAACGCCACCTTCATCAGCTTCGTTCAGCCATTACTGCTTCTCCTCGTGACGGCGCCTACCTACAACTTCATTCTCCTCTCGCGCCTCCCTGGTTTTGAACCGTTCGGCCTCCCCGACCTTGCATTCTCACGCCTTGCATTCTTCTTCGTCATCATCGAATACTTCGCCGACCAGCAGCAATGGAAGTTCCAAAGCGCAAAGAAGGAGTACCAGAAGACAGCTCGCATCCCCGACCAGTACAAGGGCCAATTCACTCCCGAGGACCTGGAGCGCGGCTTCGTCGTTAGTGGTCTCTGGTCACTGTCCCGTCACCCTAATTTTGTCGCCGAGCAAGCGATCTGGCTCACACTGTACCTGTGGAACTGCTACCGCACCGAAAGTTACATTCAGTGGACCGGACTGGGCGTTTTGGGCTACCTGCTCATTTTCCAGGGAAGCACACGGCTGACCGAGTCGATCAGTGCAGGCAAGTACCCTGAGTACAGCGAGTATCAGGCGCGTGTGGGACGCTTCATTCCTCGTTTTTCTGTCAAGCCCAAGTACAATGGCAGCAAGAAGAAGGCCCCTCGGTCCGAGACTAAGCCGGCAGGCGCTGGCGATCAGGCGACGCAGGAGGGCAAGAAGAGTCAGTGATGGGGAGGGTGGAGTTCCGATGCAGGATTTCTGTCGATTTATATCTTCTTACTTTTGGTTTCCGGATACTGGATGACTGATATTTCTAAATATATATATTGTCGGTTTTGAGTGAAGTTTCGGTATCTGTTTCTGATTGGAGTATTGGGTTCTGTTATATCAAGTTTTGGTTAGGTATGCTATGAGGCGAACATAAGGCTGCTATACCCAGAGTTCAAAGGCAATACTATCAGAAACCCAAGTTATCTAGCATTCTAATTTATGTCATATTGATACTCCACCACCTCAGGACTAGATGGTTACATAATATACAGTACAATAAACTAGATCGGAAGTCGGAACACGAACGAGAAGAGTGAAGAGGGAGAGGAATGCAAACATCACAGAAGTCCTAATATTTATGACAAAAGTGAAAACCAATGGGGAGAATAAGATATGAAGACAGCGGAGATGCTTCCGTTATTCAATGAATACAAATCCCAGCATAAAGAAACATGTAACACCCTCCTCGCCTGACCATGGATATCCCGCTGTTCCTATAATTCGTCGCCTATGAGGGAGGCGGAGCCGTCTGGTCTCTAATCTTTGACCTCGGAACCTTCGATTGGCGGCGTAGGCTCGGGAGGAGCAATGGTCTGTCCATGGGCGGCACCAAAGTACTTGGCGAACTCGCCAGAGTCCGGATAGGGTCTGGGACCGAGGAGCCTGATCATGTCTTCACGGCCGAGGACTTCCTTGGCGAGGAGCTCTTCCGCGACAATTCCAACTTCCTTCTTTTTCTCAGTGAGTAGGGCGCGGCATTGGTTGTATGCCTCACTGACGATGCGGCGGAC